TTAAAAAGGCTAACTAAAATTGCTAATAAGTTGCATAATTGTGTTTCAAAAACCATGCTTAGATAATTAAGCCATTTGTAAAAGTATTTAATGAATAAATAACCATGATCAGATTTCAATGGAATGATCTATGGTGACTCTGCTTCGGTTTATCTTCATAATCTTAGGCTGCATTTTAAAAACAAATGTTTAAGAAATTGGAGCTGCTTTTGTTCACCCTCTAATTAACTCTTATATGATAACTATATATACAATAGCTAAAAAAGGTTTGTCACTTTCTGTATATTTTATACTTTCAAGTTTACAATATATCACTTATAAAATCAATGACAAAAATGAAGCTACTTCTGGTAAAAACAAACTTTTCAACTAAGGGATTATGAGCGCTGGTTGCATTTGTCAGCCTTGACATCAAATTCATTTTTTCATATTTTGTTTTGTATTCACAAGAAAAACCCTTGCTGCATCTTTATGAGCTTTGTCTATGGAAACAGTTTTTAAGTAGATTTTGTAATCTTAGGTTATTCTTGTATTAAACAGATCCAAAAGCTTGAAATAGGAACAGAATAATGTTTTAGTTTCAAAGTGAAAAAACTACCCACATCTAACTTTGAGGGCACTCCTGGTTTAATGGTTTTAAAATGAGAGAAAAATATTTATAAATTATAAAAGCTATAATATATCTTTCTTTGATAAATATAAGATTTAATTAGAAGCAAGAGAATCAATCCAAAGGAAAATGATTTGAATGCCACAGTGAAAATTATTTTTTTCTGATTTTGAGGCTATATTAGTTTTTTGTTTAATTTTTTAGAAGACTCCAGACACAATACAATGGGAGATCCAGTGTATATTTAATAATAGAAATGATTCTTCAATTTAATTTGTTTTATTTTTACTTTGCTTCTTAAACAAAAAGAGAGATTAAATCAAATAATGAAATCAAACCTGAATGCAAAGTTTGAGCTGATTCACTGATGCCATGTATTTCCTAAAATAACCATTGCCTTGCACCTATCTATATCATGCAGGTAAAACTGGATGATTTCTTCTGTAATTTAATGTGAACATTAATATGACATTTATAAATGATCATTATTTGTGGAAAAAAGTCCACCTTTTGAAACTGAACATGTTCCCAAATTGCCACCATTAATATTTGCTTCAGAACAACACATCTCAAAAAAACAAATTAATGTTTCTGGAACTAAGTTTTTCCAAATAAAATGAGCTGGTACACCTCTTCAATTTCTGGAATCTTTTGCTGTTTGAAGATAAAACATTCTCTCAACTGCCAAAGTTCAGCTTTATGACAAGACAGTAAAGTGCTAAAATTAAATGCCATTCTCATTTTAAACAATTGAAAAGAAAAGCCAGCTCTTAGTGAGTAAATTAAACAAAAGATTTTGACATTAGAGCCTCGCTGAGAAAAATCCCCAAACAAAAGCATGTGCAGTGTTAGTCAGTAAATCCTTGAAAAGCCCTGGCCAAAGACAAAAACATATTGTAGCATTTTAATATACTGTGGAATTTTTTCAAATTACATAAAATGGATTAAAAAGGCTTTGACCTGTAGGTGTCTTTATTCAATAGCTTGTCTGTTAAAACAACCAATGAAAGACATATATCTTTGTAAAAGTTACCTTTTCACAGGCCTTCAAGATTGTACAAATCTATGCTACTCAAACAGATTGTAATTCATAAGGACCTTTGGTTTGGCTTGACTCTGTAGCACAGAGGAAATATTGCTGTAGTATGGTTGTTCATCAAACAGTTCTCTTTGCCCTAACTAACAATGTGTCCATGGCAATGCAATTAGCACAGGGCCCTGTGAGACCAAGGAATGAGGAATCAGGCTATGGTGTTGCTTCAACGTTTTTTTCACTGCACAGTCTCTCTCTGTGTAATCTTGTATCCGGGAATCAATGGGCAATACTAAATTATTAAATGGATAGCCTCAAAAAATTTACTATTAGACTAGAATCACTAATCAGCCCTGATAGGAGCATAATCTTAAACTGAGTGTTACTCAGCTCCAGATAAAAGGAATGGAATTTGAAAGAAACAAACTAAGAGACATGTTATTATCTATTCCCTAAGTTCTCAAAGTTTGCTTTCATACAAAGTAAAGCCATCAGGCTTTCTTTTATTTTGATCTAGGGAGGCTATAAGAATCTCCCATTATATAAGTTTTTCAACTTCTGTATCCATTGAAATCATATTTTTTATCTTTTGAGAACATTGTCCATTAGTTTGTTCATTGTCCTTAGAGACAAGACTGAATTTCAGAAATGTCAATGAAATATGTAGCAAGAAAATTCACATTCCTGTCTTGGCTCTGATACTTACAACCTTTTACAAGCTCTTATACCCTCTGGGCCTCAGTTTTCTCCTTGGACCAGGTAGTTTCTACCACTGTTCCTAGCTCCACATCTTCATAAATTTCTGACTGTATTCTCTCTGATATGCGGTAATAGGCTACCCCTGTCATTTACCTATTGTCTCTCAGCTCGTGATGCTTGGGGCTGGGATTCTACAGACCACATTTTCCCTTTGCTACCTGGTTTCCCTTTAGATTCTGTCAGTAGCAGGTGCTAGAGGGAGACAGCAAGGCTGAATGAAGGGTATGGGACTTGATCCTTTTTATTTACTTTTTGCTCCATGAACAATATCCAGCAATCATAAGTTGCCCCAGAAATAGGTTTCTATCTCCAGCTACTTTTAACACTCTTACTTCTTTTTCAGACCTCTACCATCTGCTCAGGCATATCTCTATAGTATATTTTGCACTCTAGTTTCCAATTTTCTGTCTGGACCTAGACTGTACTTAGAACATGGTGCAATGGATCCAGCCACATGTACCAATAGGATGTGAACCATGTCTATCTTCTTTACCTTGTTTACTGCTGTATTCATGGTCTGAAATACATACCGACTGAGTGAATTAGAACTTTTAAAGACAGGGTGGCCTTGATTCAAGTTCTAGATTTACCACATAAAAGTCCTGTGATCCTGGGAAAGTTTCCCAAATTTCCAATCCTCAATTACATAAAAAATAAGAAGTAGAAAGTGTTTCTAGTAATTTCTGGTTACTTGCAAAAAAGTGTCTTAAAGGACTAAAAGTTTTTATTTGTTTATTTTTTTTTAAGAGACAGGGTCTTGCTGTTGTTCAGGCTGGAGTGCAGAGGCATGATCACAGCTGACTGCAGCCTCAAACTCCTGGGCTCAAGCAATTCTCCTGCCTCAGCCTCTAAAATAGCTGGGACTACGAGGATGCACTACCACACCTGGCAGCCTTTCCTCCTCCTTATCCTGCACATCTAACTGGTCACTGAGTGGGATATAAAAATAACCAGAGATGGCCTCTTTAGATAGTTTATGTATTCTACATCCAATTTTTGAGTCTCCATTATACCAAGCTCTCAGCTTGGTGCTAAAAATAAGACAGGTAGAATGGATACCTGACCTAAAGAAATTTAGATTGTTTTTGCAGAAAGAAAACATAAATGATTCTATGACTGGGTAAAAATGACTATGCAGAGTTTTGTTTATGTGAGATACAGTGTGGTTTAAAGGAGTCATTATCAACCTCCATTAAGAAGGGGAAGACTCCAAAGAAGAAATCTTTGGCCTACATCAAAGGGAGAAATTTTTTAAAAGACTAAGAAGTTGACTGGAAAATCTTTGCAAAGTATATTATCCTAACCTAGAACTCTAATTCTTAACCTGATAGATAATATAAATCTTATTTTTAAGCAATAATTTCTGTGTAATAACATTTCTATGACATAAGCTTTCATATTTAGCTAAGTATATCACTAGAAATGTAGAGAAGTTTTAAAATGTGAAAAAAAATCTAGTATTTTTAACTATATATTTGTCTTTGAGAAAGCATTTTTAAGTTATCTCAGATACAGTTTACCATTTTACTTCACCACAAAATGGCATAAAAAGTCCTTGCAGGTCAGGCACAGTGGCTCACGCTTGTAATCACAGCACTTTGGGAAGCCCACAGGGGAGAATGGCTGGAAGCCGGGAGTTCGAGACCAGCTTGAGCAACACAGAGACACCCCATCTCAGAAAAATTAGCCAGGGATGCTAGTGTGTGCCTGTAGTTCCAGCTATTCAGGAGGCACTTGAGCCCAGGAGTTATGATAATGCCACTGGACTCTAGCCTGGGCAACAGAGTGAGACCCTGTCTGAAAAAACAAACAAATAAAAAATCCTTACAATTTTTAGATTAATGATGCAAATATTTGTACTGTACAGATCAAATATGATAGAAAGGAGATCATCTGTGCCTCAGTTTCTTCATTTTTAAAACAGAGATGCTAAATCACATACCACATAAGGTTCTAGAAGGGATTAAATTATCTATGTAAAGTGCTTAGAAAAGTGCCTGTCACACAACAAACTCTCTATAAATGTCATTTATTATGATGATGATGACAATATTCTAGGCACATACATATTTTCTTCAATAACTCTTTAAATGAGACAAAATTGACAGTAATTTTCATGTTAAGTTACTTTTATAGTATTTGTTGTTCTCTTAATAGTAATAGTTATTTACTACAGAATATTTGACAAATTGGTTTTATTTGTAACATGTTACTTATGAGTTAATTGAAGGTGGTCTGATGCTTTGTGATCAGTCTATAATTCCCCATATGAAGGGCCAAAGATGACATCAGTATATAAATGGCTTCCATAGCCTCCAACCCTGAAAGTGAGTCAAGAGTGGAAAAGAAACATGATTTGAAAGTTATAGAGCCAGAAGCTAGTCTGTGAAAAATCCTTCCAATTTTATGATTCACCCACAAAATAACTTGACAGAAGTTTTCTAAAATTAGACATTGATCTTAAAAATCTATGTGATATTGCCTATAATGGCTTGTGAATATAAAGTAATTATTTCTGAACTATCAATAAAAAATTCAATCTACCACTATGGAGGATGAACTAAGGTTTTTTTTTTTCTCTTTTTATTCTATCTATAGAAAGTGATTTTCAAAATTGCTGTCATTGGAAGAGCCAATCTTTGGTCTGCAGCCAAAATTTGTAGGAAAAAGGTATTATAAAGGTAGTATACGTTAATGAATACTGATTATTATTTTCTCAATTTTGTGGTCTCAGCTAGCTTTTAATAAGTTGTATTTTATTTTAATTTCTTTCCTTATTCTTGACAAACATGCCCTTTGTGCTTATTTTTACTAAATTTTATGCTTTTTTTGAAAAGAGCCCTTCAAATTGTCTAAGTTCAGAGCTTCTTTCCCTAAATACTATTGTAATCTCTGTTTTCAGTAGGGAAAAATGAGGCCCTGAGCCAAGTCACACAGCTAGTAAGTGGCAGAGCAAGAGTACCGCTACGATGTGTTAAGTGTGATAAGAAATACAAGGTTGAAAATGTGAGGGGAAAAAATCCCTGGCAAAGAGCTCAAATGGCCGCTGTGATGGAGAAAAATAAATGAAAATACTTGTAAGTATTTTCAGGTCAGAGAGATGTGTGTTTATGTACTGAGCAGATTGTGGCGTAGAAAGGAGACCTGCAGGAGTTTAGAGATTGAGGGAGGAGATATTCTGACTACTTGGAAGGAGTTGGGGAAGCAAAGCCAGCAAAGAGAGAGAGAAAGACAAAGATAAGGATGAATTCAAAGAAAAAAAAGAATGAGGGAAAATAAAACTTTTGGTTTGACTGAACAATCTGTTAGGGTTCCACCTCCGAAGAATAGACGCCTACTCGAAAGTTTGTTTTTAAGTAATATTGTGTGAAGAACATATGTGAAGTATCTAGTGAAAATTTATTATTTGGCTCCCTTGATGTTAGCTTTCAGTTAAGAGAAAAATTTGAAAAAGAAAGAAATTTGAACACAAGAGGAAACAAAAACAGTCGTTATTCCATGTCTAAGGAAAATGATATACATTTATTCAACACTTGGTAATATACACTAAAATGACATTGTTACGGCCTAATGTAAGTTTTAAGGTAAGCTTATGACTTTTAAGGAAACATTGTTTACCTTATTATAATAAAAATAGATTTAAATAATTAAAAAGACCCTGAACACTTAATTATATTGTCACATGGTACCACCAAAACAAAGGTAATCTGATGACATGAAATATTTTATCTAGATTATTTAATTATGTATTCACCTGTTTGTTCTAATTTTTTACCCAAATCAGTCAATATAAGATTTCTATCTCAGCAAAGGCTGAACCATGAATCAGAAAGCTATTTACAATATTAGCAATCATTCCTTCATTTATTCACTTATTCATTCCAAAAATATTCAGTACCAATTGTGCTCCAAGCACTGTGTTTTGTGCTAGGCAAAGAGTAGTAGGCAAAATCAGGCACAATTTCTGCAATCAGGGAATTTATAGAGGAATGGAGGGACATAAGTTAATGAGATAATTACATAAATAAATATACAAATGCATTATGAGATAAGTACTATCAAGGAAAGAATGGAGGGACATACATTAATCAGATAATTACATAAATAAATATACAAATGCATTATGAGAAAAATACTATCAAGGGAAGTAAATGAATGGGAAGACTTTGCTGAGAATGTGTCTATTTGTCTGAATCAGGCTTGATGGAGAGAGGATATCCCTGTCAAGGGAATCAGTCATGTTAAGGTCATTGTGCCTTAGCCTAAGAAAAAAGAAATTAATTGAAGAATGGGAAATGGATTGAAAAGGGGATAAGTGTGAATGAAGAAAGAGTAGGAATAGCCAACAAATTAAGCAGGACAGAAGACAAACAGTGGTATCTTGGATTAGGTGGTAGTGCTGGAGATTAAAAGAAGTGGGAAGATTCAGGAAATACTTAGCAGATGAAATATGGAAAGGTTTATTGATAACCTGGACATAGGAGGAGTGAAAGAAAGGGCAGAGTCACAAACGATTCTCAGATTTCCATTGTATGCTTCTGGATAGATAGTTTCATATATTAAGATGAAAAACACCACAGGGATAGAATATCTGGGGTGGAAGGATGGTGAAACTAAGGAAAGTTATCTTATTAGAATTATTTTGGACCCTTTTAAAGATCTATTGCTAATGTAGCATTATTCTATGACTCAAGGCTCTATGCTGATCTACAATTCCCTCTAATGATAAATAGCCATAGATGCCTAAGTCATTTAGTAGAGAGTAGTATTTCATCATCTTCACAGATAATTCTATAATAGAACCAAGGGAAGTATAATAGCACAGATTACATTTTGTTCTTTAATTAGATGCTTTCTTCTGGCTCATATAATTGTTAATTTGGTAGCACAATGGAAACAGAATATGTAAACATATACACAAGTACAAAGTTGGCCTTTAAAAAAATCTATGCTAAATGTTTTTCTTTACATTATTCCTAAGTAGCCTTCCTGGAAAATGTAGCCAGTTTACCATAATCAGTTTATTGATCTCATCTCCCAGCATAATTTAAACCAGAGTGAAAAACATTCCATGTAACAACAAGACAAAAATCTAGTTAACTTTCATACTTGGTTGCAAAGTTGTTTATTTCTAAATATAACTATGATGAGAAAAGTATCCTTTCATGTCCGATACTGAATTTTTACACAATTCTTAATTTTTTCTTTTTTGATAATTAATAGCATATAAAATATATAATAATTATTTATTTATTTTTTAAAGATATACATTTATTAGATTTATTACATGAAGTTTTAGAATTATATAGAAATACATATGTCTTTTTATTTTTTGGCATATTATGGGGGTACAGATTTTAAGGTTTCAATAAATGCCCTTTCCCCCCTCCCCCCACAAGTCTGAGTTTCCAGCATGACCATCCCCCAGATGGTGCACATCTCACTCATTATGTATGTATATACCTGGAGGGGGGCGGGTATATTTATTTTTAATTTTCAATAGGTTTCAACTTCCATCAAAAGGTAATGCATTTGTTAATATATTATCCTGAATATAATCCTAATTATTATAGCCTCATAAATTTCCAAATTTGTTTTCATTCTTTAAATGTGGATTCTAAGACAGATGCTGACTACACATCAGATTTCCATTTAATCATCTTATTTCCCACAGTGTTAAAAACATAGTAGCTCATGGAGTTTTAAAAATTAGAGCTAATTTCAGATGAGAAAATTAATGCCCACAGAAGTGAAGCAAGCCCTGTACAGACCCATGGAAGCTCCTGACCAGATCAGATCTTAAGCTTTTACCACATGGGTCTAGATCTTTGTTCTTCTACTTCACTGCACACTGTTTCTCCACTAATACTGGCTCCTGAAGTTATTTTATTTAACACTGACCATGTACTATATAAACTACTGGATAGTATCTCCAATGTTTGTTCATCTATCAACCAGCTTTCACAGATGAGGGACCTATGGCACAAGGAAATTAATAATTTACCCCAGTAAAGGGTAGAAATAGATTCTAAGTCATCAGCTTGACTTCTGCATCAGCACAGTTAACCAATACACTATGCCGCCTTTTAGAAAGACTCTTGAACAAACCAAATCTGACAGTGCTTCCCCTTTTCTAATGATTTCTAATTAATTTTATGTAACAATAAAAAATGTATACTTTATTCCATTAACATGAATAATTTACTTTAAACATTTTCAAGGAAATATTTTCTCACCAAACTATAACAAATCCTTATGAAAGCTTAGTTAATAATGTTCCATAAATTTAATTTAATATATTTACCTCTTCATAGACTAATATTATATTCTTTGGCGGTGTTCTCATTAATATGACTATTGAGTCCAGTGTAAAGTCAGCATAGAATTCCCTAATAGCATTCAGAAATAGAATAATTCAATAAAGGTTCCAGTCTGGTGAGATTTCTTCTTTTTCATAGCCAGGAATTGGTGAAGTAGCAAAGAATGTCAAAAATGCCTTCACTTTCTCCTTACAGTCTTACCATGAAACTGTCGTCCCTAACCCCTGGCCATGGACCTGTACCAGGACAGGCTGCAGAGTTCCGCCCCTTGTCCCCCACGTCCTGTGGGCACAACCCAGAGCAGCGGCAGTAGGTGAGTGGTGGATACTTACAGCCACTCTTCTCCCCAACGCTGGCGTCCCACCCTGAGCTCCCCTCCCCACCCCTTCTGGTCTGCCTACCCATAAAATTATCTTCCATGAAACCAGGAAACTGGTCCCTGGGGCCAAAAAGGTTGGAGACCACTGCATACTTATTTGAATAAAACTCTACCGAGCTTTTTTTTTTTTAAGCCTTCCATTTAAACAATCATTTTAAAACTCCAATATCTCATCTCATCAGATGTGCATATAAAAGGATACTGACTAAACTGAATTAAACAGAGTTAATGTTTATGAGATTTTCTGCCACGGTATTCTCTATAGGCATTAAAGCTCCATTAGAACTATAGAGGGATGTATTAAAGAAATAAGAAAAACATTATTGAACTAGGTGCTGTGTATTTTCATAAGTTTTATCTTATTTATCCTTTATTACAGCTCTGAGATATACATATGTTTTATTTTACAAATAAGGAAACTAAGGCACAAAGAGGGAAAATGCTGTTTAATACACAGTGATAGGCAAATTCAGGACCCAGATCCAGGAATACCTGTATTATAGCCAAAGCTTTTCTCAATACTTTGTGTCACCTAGTCTGCAAGGGGATAGTTAGCTTCTAAAATTATCAAACCATGACCTAACTACCTCCCAAAGGGGAAAAAAAGGAAAGTAAAATTATCAAAGAGAAGCAAGATGGAAAATTATATTTAAGGCATTAAAAGCATTTTATGAGATGGTGGATAGAAAGGAGAGGTGATTAAAAAAATAGTATGGATGTAAGAGGACAACATGGAAAGAGAAAAAGAGACAGAAGAAGAAAGAGAAAGAGAGGAAAAAAAGCCACACAGTGGGAAGGTGGAATCATAGGTTGAGGTAGCAGAGGGAGAGGAGAGAGAAAAATATTTTTCAGAGGTTACAATATGGCATAGATGAGAGCTAGAGAGAAGGAGGATATCTAAAGAAGATGTAAACAATTGCCTTCAGAATTTGTTGCCTTTTGAATATCTTGTAAAAGCTGAAGCAAAGATTATTTTCTGATAGAATATTGTTATTTATTTTAATGTAATTTTGCATAAAAGCTGGAATTCATGGGCTCTCAATTTTATTAGTGTTACATATGAATTGTCTATACTGTTAATAAAGGTAGAAATTCCATTCATAGCTATTGCCTTTTTTTCTCTCTCTTTTTACTATCAGGGAAGGGCAGAGAAGAATATAAAAGACAGAAACATATGTAAAGTTTTTTTTTTTTTTACACTATAGGAATCTATGCAAATTTAACATGTTAGCAGTTAGCATTTTGGCTAAATTGAAGACAGTTGAAATTTTGCAATATTTTGAAGTTTAACTTAGGCATTAATGGCTAAAAGTGACATTATTAGTTACTACCATACAACTGGTTGTATACAGAAAATATGCTTCTTTTATGCACCAACATGTTTGCAGACATCCATCGCTATAACACAATTTCCTTTCTTTCAGATGCTTACTATTTATGTGTCCTCAGTGGTCCAAAATTTCCTGATTTTGTACATCTGTCCACTGAACATAAAGTAATAAGTAAACTACTTTGTGCCAAATTCCCCATGAAGAAATGCTTCTTACTCCCACACTATTCCTGCCCTGCTGTGTCAGTGGGTATGTCTTGTATTAGCAACAGATGAAATATAATTACAATGGATCTTAGAGTCCTTTCTTCACCTAATGCTGGACTACTTAACATGTCACCCCAGGGATACAAGCAAACAGCTTGAGCCCAGGAAGATATATTCCATTTTTAAGCAGAAAATATAAAATAGCTATTAAAAACTTATTTCTTTTCAAGTCAAACTGCCTCCCTAGACTAAAGATTGAAAGTGGTTTGGAAATTTGAAGAGACATATTCAGGTTAAAAGATAAATGTAGAAGGTTAAAAAAATCTCCCTCAAATTATAAATTTTGTAAGGTATTAGAAATATTTGGATCATGAGTTCCCTATATGCTCTCAGCCTGCTCTTGTCATTCAGTGTGAGAGGGAACAAAATATATGCCCTTTCTCACTATCTTTGGAAGATACCTCAGGGTACTAGCAAGAGTCAACTCTTTTCAAAAAAAGCACATTTAGAAATAATTCAATAAATATGGCAGTTGTCCAGGAAAGTATAAATTCTAAAAATTGACTCAAAAAGTTTTGAAATATGCTTATATCAATTATTTAGAAACACATAAAATATGTATCAAACCAAAGTTTTAGAATAGATAATTATTTAGGTATATAACATGTTCCAGAGGGTGACAAATATTAAATCTTCCCAAAATTATTTTAAAGCTAAAATTGGTTTGATATATACATAAAATATTATACAAAGAATAAAATTCAGTTTAATATGACTTATAGAAAAGGGATAATTCTGAGAAAAATCTTTGAGAATTTTATATAGCAGAATGAAATTCCACAAGCAACTTGCATTTATTCCAGAAAAGCGAGGCTAAGTAAACATTACAAAAATATTTTTATTACATCTATTATATAAAGAAGTCTAAAAGTTTTTTTTTAAAAAATTGTTATTAATCCAAACCATTTGATAATTTTACATATATTCCCTTTTTTCAGGAAGCAACTTATAAACTAGTGTTTTCTGAAACATACTTCCCAAAACATGAGTAAAAATTGTACATTTGGACCAACAGTAGACCTGAAGTTTAATGGTGAAATTATATAGTAGTACTGTCCAATATAACTTAGAGCAATGGTAGCAATGTTCTCCACGCTGTTCAATATGGTGGAACTAGTCGAATATGTCTATTGATCTATAGAAATGTTACTAATGATACTAAATAACTGAATTTAAATTTTATTTTAAATAACTAGGAATATAAATACCACATGTAGCAAGTGGGTACTATATTGGAAAGTGCAGTCTTAGAAAAATATAAATTTATTCTTAAATTCATGAATAAAACAAAAATGCATGCTATTATTCTAGTTTTTCACCATTTTACTTACAAATTTCAGACAGTGCAACAAAACAAGAAAATTTGAGTTGTAAAAAGTGAGAAGGAGAGGACATGAGTTTAACAGTGTGATTCTGTGCAAAAATAAAAAAATCAAGGTGGAATAACAAATTTAGAAGATATAGAAGGATAATTTAATAATATAAAAACTAATAATGGTAGAATTTTTCTTTCATTGGTGAAGATGTAAGTAGCTCAAATAATAAATAGTATTAGCACAACTGGTTATCTATCTGGAAAGAAATATAAAATGTATACCTATATGACATTTTATAATGAAAATATCCAGATCAATTAGAGACATAAAACTTAAAATCCATAAAAGTACTAATTCAAAACATATTTATGGAGAGTCAACTAAGTACCGGGAACTATGCATGTTATGTTCTGAGGATATAAGAGTAGTTGAATAGACCTTACTACTTCCCTCATGACACTAACATCCAATTTATCTCAAAATAAGCAGCATTATTTTTAAGAATACCCATAAATCCTATTTTGGCTTGTTGATCTTCTAAAAAAGAATATGCAAAATTTACAAGGAAAAATCTAAACAGATATTCACTTCTATTTTAAAAGCTAGAATGAAAGCTCCTTAAAGACTGGGATTTTCTTTTGTTCACTGATATATGTCTTTGCTTAGAACAGGGTATGGCACACAGTGGATGTTCAATAAATCTTTGAAGAGAGAGACAAAGAAGGAAACAAAGGAAAGTTAGGAAGAAAGGAAGCAAGGAAGGAAGGACATATTTTTTTCTGTTAACTCTTACAATGTTGGATTATGGCATGATATTAAATTATCTGATTACATTGATAACATTGATAATAATGTAAGAACAAATTTAAAGAGATTTCTTTACCCCTGAGCATGTATGATGCAAATTATATCAGTTAGGCCCACACACGTTTACTCTGAAGGAATGTTTCTTAAGATGTGTTGGAGAGGGTAAAAAATCTTTTTAACATTGTTAGAAAACAGCTATATTTCAGGACTCCCAAATGCTATTAATTATCAATTTCATGTTATTCTAGCCAGAGTGACTTGCAAATCAATGGGAATTATAATGTATTCAATATTATTTTAGAATTGAAAGAGTTTTGTGTTTAACAAAATTGCTCAATACTGAATAGGGGGGAAAAGAGAGTGGAAAGCAAAATTAACAAGTCAGTTGAGGGGATTATTCTCAAAGTGATCTGGATCCATGGGGACCCAAAAGTCTAGAGAACATGAAGGTCAAACTGAGTGCAGGATACATGTTCCTTGAGAAATAGCATATGAAAAGGGGGTGTGCTTTAGAGTCAGATTGATTCCAATTCTTTCTCTTCCAAGTACTGACTTTGTAACCCTTATATTCTCCATGTGTAAATTTTCATGATAATAATACTTCACTAGAATGGTGTAGCTATTTAATGTTGATATAAAGCATTAGCACTGAGCGTGATGCATAGTGAACACTTAATAAAGACAAAATCCAACATGGATACCATCTATCCCTGCCCATTATTTACACTCTTTGAAAAATATTTTATCCCATGATCAGATAGCATTTTGCATTACTGCACCAGATCGGTTTTGTATACACCCCAAATTTCACTAGTAGCACATTGAAAACAGCAGTGTTTATTATCACAGACACCTCATATTTGCTAGCATATTAGGCTTTTTAGTGCTTTTTAGAGTCTTTTATTGTAGAAAGTTCTCCTGTTAGTGAAATTCCAGCCAATGAAAGTGGGAACTTTTCCCACGTTTTATCCAAAGACCAACTACGGATGAATTACAAACAAAAGAACATTTCTAGTTTAATAGAACTTTTTCATTCTAAACAGAAGTCTTTTCATGTAACCTAGGTTCCATAGAATAAGTGTGCTACATCAATTCATGTTATTTCGCAGCAAAGTTCTATCTATACTGAATCCTTTTGAAGAACCTCCATATTGACCTTGACTGACTCTTGCACTATTCCCGTCACAGTTCCTGATTGATC